TGGTAAACACATCCTGCACGTGTCCTCATGGCTCATGGCCCCTCTATCTGACTCCAAGTTTCCGAGGTCCTGGAGAAACAGATGGAACATGGACTCATGTCAGGAATGCTGTGTGTCCTTCTTGGGAAGACTGTGGCCCACTTCTGGCCCACTATTCTACAGCAGACCCTGAGTGGTTTGGCACCCAAAGGACCTTGGCAAAGGCTGGGGCTGGCTGGGCCTTCTTCTCACACCTCTCTATTTATGTAACGTGTGTCTCCACAAGGCTGCCCTGATGGAGGGTTGCTTCTACACCTCTCCTTACACTGCCACCAGTGATCCTCCCAAAACACTGTCTCCTCAAGAACTTGCAAGGGTTTCCCAGTATCTATGACAAGGCAAAGGCAAAGGCCTTCAGGAGTGGGTACAACAATACTTTCCGATTTCCAAGTCCAGTTATGCCACTCTACGGACCCCTTGCTCCAGCCACACCAAGCCACTTACTACGGCCTGAGCACTCTCCTTCTTTCCTCCATTGGACAGAACAGTGAAAGAATTAATACTATGGGCTTGGAAGCCAAACCACCTGGGTTCAAATCTTCCTCATTGGGTAAGACTCACCAGATCCACCAGACTTTACTAAAGTCTCTGTTACTCAGCTTCTTCATCTGTAAAATGGGGGAAAGTGTAATTCCTACTCGTGGAGTTAGAGTTAAGATTCAGTGAGTTCACAGGCATAACACTCTTGGAATGATGCCTGGCACCCAGTAAACAATGAACAAGGGTAGGCATTGATATTACTAGAGAATTCTCCTCATCATCCAGGGCTAGGTTTAAATGAAAGCTCCTTCACAAACCAGCCTCGGCCTCCCAAACCGGAAGTAATGGCAGCCCCCTCTGTTCTCACAGCCCATGCAAGTACATCTCCAAGCTTTTTCTACTTATATATGTAGAAACATATATATATATATATATGTGTTTATCATATACACTTGCCCGTCTCCTACATCAAACTGATCACTTTGAAGACAGAGACCTACTCTAACCCATCTTACTTTACGTTCTTCAAAGACCTTCTACAACCCCGAATACAGTAGACTTTCAAAAAGCATCTGCCAGATGAGAATTAATCTGAGAAAAGGAATTGAAACAGACAGCTGAAACGCACAGCCTTTTTGGATCCCATTTGAGGATATAGTGTGAGAGTCCAGGCATTTACTCTATACTGTCTACCTGCTGGAGAAATATTCTTAGTGTCCACCAGCGTTTGTGAATACAACTCCTTGAAGGTGGCCATAGAAAGAACTGAAAACGATTGTAAGCCAGACAGGGATGGAGGGAATCCATGAATCCGCTTCAAGTGTAGTCAAAATGGTGTCCAGTGTGCTTTTTTCCCCCCCCAGAGAGCCTTTTTAGAGAGCTTTCATAAGATGTTCAGCGGGGTCTGTGAGACCCCCAAGTTAAGAACACTCGACGTGGTTATCCAGAGACAATGTTCTTGCCCTCTACTGCCTTGCAACGGAAGGAAAGCACAGCCACTCCCACAAGGCACAGACTCACCAGCAGGGAGAAGTGGGCAATGAGGGCTTGGTGACTCGAAAGGGAAACGAGGAGAGGTTCCTTAAATCATTCCATGTTAGGAGATCAACAAGGAAGGCAGATAAAGGAACCTGGGAAACTCCGTGGCCTGCTCCTCCTGGGGGGGGAGCGGGGGGCGGGTTTGTGAAGCCGAAGGTTATCTGTCATGATACAGGACTTGCTGGCTTGGAACACAGACACTTGCCACTTGGCTCAGTCGGTCTGTGAGAGTTGTTTTCTATCAGGGCGACTAAAAAACCTAGTGCGTCGGGATCCAGACACATAAACGAGGCTGTTCACCTAATGGCTGTGGGGAGAGCTAAGTGACACTGAAAAACCAGGGTGAGTCTGATCCCAGAGCAAAGGGGAGACAAAGACCATGAGTGCAGAGTCCCCGTAGCACTTCCTACTGGCCGATGGTTTGCAGGGAACCCTCGCGCAGGAGCTTGTTTTATTTGCTGAAGGCACAGCGGTAAATTAAAGCCCATCCTAGCCCCGTTCTGGGCTCTCGGGTTTCTCCTGGAGCTATTCCTATCACTGCCCATAGGCCACTAAAACCTTTCCACCTTCAGAATGATTGACTCTGCTCAAACAAGTCAAGCCACAAGCCATGTCGAAAAGCCCACTTCAGATAAGTCATTAGCTTCCTTTATGGATTTTTCAGGTCAGAAGGAATGGGACCTAAGAGTCCTATCTTCTGTAGAGTTGAAAGGGAGTACTGAAAGAGGTGGGGTGACCTGGAGAAGCCACAAGAGACCGCATGAGCCCCTTTCTTCTTCTCAGTCAACAAGAGACGCGTAACAGAATCAGGTCCTGGCCGCCTCCCTGTCTGTGCCAGACATTCAAACCAAGCGAAACCGCCCACGGGTTCTTCATTCACATGCTGGAAGTGAAAGGAAATGGAGGGCTCAGCACCCTGTCTTTGCTTCCACGGCAGAAGACGATGCAGAGCACCTGGGATGTAGAAAGTCACGGTGAAGGAGGAGCGTCGAAGACCCTCTGACTTGTCACGGGACGGCCCGTGCGAGCTGAGCTGTCATCAAGACCGCTGTGGGCAGGTGGGATAAAGCAGTAACTGTGGCCAGAGAGTAGCCCAAAGGCACCAACACCAGGAACCCAAGTTCTGTAGCTTGGCAAGCTTCAGCTCGCCTCCTGACCCACGTTTAGCAATTCTGATGTACCATGGAGCAGACAGCTCCAGCCCGGGATGACTGCTCCCTCAGCCCCTCTCCAACAGGCAATGAAAGCAAGACCCACTTTGAAAATTCTCCCCCATCATGCAAACTGACATAGGCATGCTTTTCAAAAACCCACAGCCAATCTGTTGATCATTACTTATTTACAAAGGCCTTCGGGCAGAAAGTCCTGTAAAAACCATGCTTGATACGGTATACACTAGCTTTTTCTGCTTGTGGAAAAAAAGTCCCCCCAAGGCTACCTCAAACCATCACTTTCTATTGCACATAAAATGTAGTGTGTAACACTAAAGTATTTAATATATATGGTATAATATATCTACAGGAAAGGCATTTGTGTAGAAGTATGTTACCCTGGATTTGGTAATTTGATGTTTTGCTGAAGGCTACGACTTAAAAAAGCTTCCACCTCGTACAGAAGACCTGTCATCTTGGTACCCAAGAGCCAACAGAATAAAGAAGTACCCTTAAGCAGCAAAACTTTGACACAGCTTTGAAGCATATGAAAACAGTATAACGCCTCAGAATTATTATTACTCAAGATCAAAGAAATGAGCCATACTTTACATAGCAAACAGGGACAGGGAATTTGGCTCCAAAGGTTTCAGATTTTTCAGACTTCTCTTTATTTATTTATTTGCTTCTCTAAATTTAGGCAAAAGAAAGCGCCTGGACTTTTTTCTACTTTAAATGGATAAAACTATTAGCATTAGATAAGGCGATTACCGAAAGGTGAGTAAATAGGAAATGAATGCTAGCAATGACAACTGGCATCATAAAAATGAGAAGCTTGGCAGTTGGTGCATTTTATTCCTCCTCATAAACTATAAACAAGCATGTAAATCAGCAATACCCCAGCAAGACTGCGTGAAGGGGCAGGCAGAGGACTGTTCAGGAAACATCTTACAGGAAGAGATGATCATAACGGAAAAGGACATGGGGCTGGGAGAGTCCTCCATGGGAACCTGTGTCCTCAGCCGCAGGGAGAAGGACCGCCCCATCTGTGCCCTAGAAGGGTGGCCATGGAGGGCCAGGGAGATGCGAACGTATGGAGAGAGGGAAGAGCAGGGGGAAATGGCCATCATTTTATTTCAATAATCAAAGGGAGGAGAGCAGCCAATATCAAAAAAAAAAAAAAAGAAGAAGAAGGAGAAGAAGAAGAAAGAAAAGAAAAGAAAAGAAAAGAAAAGAAAAAAAGAAAAGAGAAGAGAAGAGAAAAGAAAAAAAAGAAACGAAACATCAAGCATCAAGATGTCAGGTGTTTCCATGGCAGTGATCATTTAGGGATCACTCCTGTTTCATCACCGAGGTGCTAGAGAGTTAGGATGTTAGAGGAAATAAGCACTGGGATTGGCAGATGACTCAAAAACAACCAGGGGAAATGAAAGATGAAGAGGCCCAAAAGAGAAACCTGCAGAACTCTGTTGAAATTTGGTTTCATTTGCCATTTCCAAGACAAAGCCATAGTCAAGATGGATGGATGGATGGATGGAAGGAAGGAAGGAAGGAAGGAAGGAAGGAAGGAAGGAAGGAAGGAAGGAAAAAAGGGTGGGAGGGAGGGAAAGAAGGAAGGGAGGAAGGGAGGGAAGGAAGGAGGGAGAGAGAGAGAGAGAGGACACACACACTCTATTTCATAATTAATATTGCTTTTAGCCTGAGCAGAACTGGATTACTTTTGAACTTTGCTTTGGCAAGCCCACAGATTATTAGACTTTTTTATCAGTCAAAATCAATTAACAGAAATTTGATTTCAATCGACAGGATAAAAAGAAGGTAATCTTCAGGTTCATTTTTGATTGTGATGATACATCTCACATATGGCCTTAAGTACAGAAAACAGTCCTCGGAGGGACTCCAGCAGAAAGAGACTTGCCAGAGGCAAACTAACCACCCGCGTCTCTCTGATTGGTTCCTGGCGTCATTAGTGCCACCGCTGTTTAGGAACTACACACAGACAGGACATGGTGACAGCTAAGACTTTAAAGCCTATGTATTTTTCAAACAGCTTTTCAAACTGTTTTTCATGACAGAATTTTTTCAGCTCTATCATTAACTGCTGACAAGCTGACAGAATAAATACTCCAGCCTTTAAGAAGCCACCTAACGATCGGTCCCCTCCCCCGCCTCGTGCGTGCCTTGCCGGGGGAGGGGAGGCGCCGGGCCTGGGCCAGGCGGGGAGGGGGCCCCGAGGGGAGGAGAGGAGATGGAGGGGCGCCCCACATGGGCCCTCGTGGCCCCTCTTCTTACCTCATCAGCTTGGGTGAGGAGCTCGGGGAGTTCCGCATGCCTCCATTCCGCTGCTTTTTTTTGGGGGACAGTGTTGATGGCTGCTCATCTTCAACTGGAAAGACAGGCAGCTCGTGAGATTATGAACAGTTTGAGGGCAGACTGAGAGATACAGGCAAGATATCAAAGGACACACACTCACGGCTCAGTCACTCACTAGGAACTCATGGCTGTCTTTTAGGACCCAGTGACAAAGACCAAATGTGTTAGTCAAAGAGGCCGGCTTAGAAAAGGTGAAATCATCACCTCTTAGCACTCCAGCTTTTGAACATGCACTTGAAACAGACTACACCAGTTTGTAAGTGCCCTGCCATAAGAGAGAAAAGAAATCATGATTTATCTGTATATAAAAAATATACACATATATATATAGCATATATATATATATGTGGGAACACTCAATCATTATTCTTAGAGTTAATTTCAGTTACTTCGCTGAGTAATCAAATGGGTTTTTCCAAAACCACAATCAGAAATAAAGTTGTATGGGCAACGGCAGCGGAAGAGCTGCCAGCCAGTTGATCCTACAAACGAACCAACTTAGCTGGTGCCTAATCCCTGCACGCCAGAGCGAGAGCCTTGGAGAGAGGCAAGGATCTGAGGCCTTGACAGCCAATGTTTCAATCGGTCAGGACTGGGAACATTGGTGCCTGCTGGCTCAAGAATCCCCAGCCCATCTCAGCTCTGTCCCTGCTGCTCCCTAGAGGGAGAGCATGTTGGGGCGTGCACATGGGATCCTTTCTCCACTCATTAAGACTGGGCTGTGAGGTTGGAGAACCAGGCCGGAGAAGAGCACCCGACTGAAGGAGGAGGTTGCCACTGAGTGATATCTCTGATGATGTGGTGGGGGGCAGGGAGGGAGGGCAGCAGAGGGCATTGGAAACCAAAGGCTGTTTTCCAAATGTCTAAACCACACAGATCGCTAAGCAGTGTGAAGGTTCGCTCACAAACAACACAGCACACTCTACTGCTTTTGCCCAAAGACACCCACTAATAAGCTTTATAGATGTATTAGCTTGCATCATGCTTCTTTTTAAGAGAGCTGCTTGATAATTAGCAGATGCGCACCCAGCCTGTCACCCAAGGGCATCAGCAGCAAAATTCTAGCCCTCCTCTACCCACCCCCACAATTCAGGCTAAAGCTGTAATGTCAAGAAGGAAAAATATAGGATCCTTGGATTCTTAGAGTAGACTGCAACACAGACTGGGAGGAAGCACCCTTGAAACCCGGAATGCACGGCAGTTACCTTAAAGCTAAGAAGAGAAATATTAGCAGTGATGACATCAAAAGAAGCTTGACATATGTTAATGGTGTAAGTCTTATTCGCGGGTGGGGGAGTGGGGAGGAATGTCATCTCAGCTACTTGACATTGCCCAGGAAGACCCATATCCCTATCGGGACATGCATTATATGATACTTCCCTGAAAACCCTAAATAAATTTAGTATGTTACGATACATGGTTCGCAGGGATTCTAATAATCCAACTATCTTCCAAGCCTGCTTCAAAGCACCCCACTTGGTACATTCCCCTATTCCACTGTTAGTCTGGGCTTGTCTATATTCTGGCTGACACGTGGAAAAGGAACAAGAATGCAGTCTGAGGTGAGAGTGATTCCAGAAGCAGCGAAGGCAAGAAGCACCTACAAATGCCCACAGCCCACTCACTCTACCAGCTACTCCCCCGCCCCGTCCCCCCTGAGGCCCAGGCTCAGGCTGCGACCCTATCAGTCACTTAGGGCTCCAGGCAGGAACTATGTGGCTGGGAGGATATCACATCTTATCAGAAATGAGTATCCACAGCAAATCACACAGAGACTAAACAGCACTTAAAAGATTAAAGGAAATAAATACAAGCCACATAAATGGTATTGAAAAAAATCACTTAGAGTTGATATGCATCTCTCGGCAAGCAAACAGGCACTCTGAGCTTGACCTGAATTCATCTTCCTTTCACAGGATAGGGGGCCAGGCATCCCAGGTTAATAATGGGGTAGAAAGGCAATAAGTGAAAGAGAAAGGGGGAGAGAGAGAAAGACAGAGAGAGAGAGAGAGAGACAGAGAGACAGAGAGGTATGTGTATAAATATACTTTTGCATTTTCCCCATCTAAGGATGGGGTAGAACGTTTTGCACTGATTCCACCCATAATACAAGTTCACCTTTTAATATGGACCACTTGCAATTGCTGTATTGTGTTCAGGGTGACCTAGATTAGTTGAGTCACATGACAGACTGGATAACGTGTATGCATGTGAGTGGGTCTAGTTGGGGTGAAAAGTTCTCTCCTCTGTCACACAGGCCTTCTTATGGTTAGAGTGACATACCCAGAAAGGTCTTTTACCCAACCCAGGCTACTATGACTAGCTTTATGCAAGGCCACCAGATGTTGCCATGGTTTTGTCCAATTTATTCAGTGAGTCCATTTCAGTAAGGTCCTGAACAGAAGTCCCACTCACTGGCAGTTCTGTTGGAGTCTTTTGCTTAACTATTGTCTCCCCATTTGCACTGGACCTATAATAAATAACTCTCTTTGGCTAAGTGCCCATTATCCTTGCACCTTGTCACTGTTTGTTTACGTGCCGCGATCTTCACATGGAAGATGTGTAAGTTAATACCTGTTACCCAGCTCCAGGGAGACACTTTGTTCTAGTGCTAAAGTTACCCCTCCTTCTATGCAAGGAAACTATTTATTTTCATTGCAACTCAGAAAGATCATCCATCATAATCATACTGCATTTAAACCGGGATTTGTTCTCTTAAATGAAACTCATGTTCACAGGTTTCCTCCTGCACTCACAGGCCTGGAAATGCAGATCTGTTCCCTGAAGAAATGGGTGGAAAAAATGTCTTCAGCTTAAATATATGAACGTTGTGTAATGGAGACCATTACATATGGCTTAGATCCCACGAGAGAAGCAGTGATAACTTCTTTCTCATAAGTAGGTTATAAACCATATTTAATTATTATCCTTTATAGGGATTCTATCAATTTCTGCATATTTAAAGAAAGCAGACCTAGAAAAACTTTTAGTTAAGCTATAAAATATAATTTTCATTTCATGGCTTCTGTGACTATATGTAAGGAATAAAAATAGAATTAAAAGGGAGACTGAAATTTACGTACTTTCATGAAAGACAAATGTATTGAGGTAATTGGCCACTACCTCATGCCAACGCACATTTATGGGCTCCTACTTAGCCTGCTTTTTGGCTAATTACCATACACCCCTGTCTCCGGCATTTTCACTCGCATCGTGCTGTGGAAGCGCATGAAGATACGATCTTTGAAAGGAACCTGACTTACCAGCTTCTTTAAAACACAAACAAGTTCAGGAATCCAATGTGGAATTTTTATAGGAGCTGAACTCCATCCAGTCTCCAAGTGCTCATAAAATTCAAGGGCTTGTTTTTGCACATCCCTAAGTATAACACTTAATGTGCTGTTGTAACTTCCCAGTGCTCACTTGTCTAATAGGCTCTGAATCTAACAGTTTTACAGTTGGGGAAGACTCAGTGCTAGAAAAATGTCAGGCAAGTCTAATGAGGCTTCAGATCCCTTGGTTTGCGCTAGAGTTTAATTTAAAGTTACAATGATGTTTTAACATGTTTGCTTATACTTGACTAAAGAGGATTCATTATTTCAATGACATAACCTTCAGACAATGTTCTGGGAATTGATTTAAGATGTGGTGGTAATTCCAACAGCCTTAATGCAGAGTCGAACATCTGTAACAACATTTTACTCGACTTTTCATCGACATTCTGTTTTCAAGCAAAAGCAAGGCAACATCTTCCAGAAACACTGGCCAGAGCTCTGGGCTCATTTCAAGATGATCATATATTTCACTGGATTTTTTTTAAAAAAAGAAATCCCTTTCTTTATTGGCCTCGCCAGCTTGCAAACACCATGTCAGGGTTACCAATGCCTCTTTGGGGGCCTTTTGAGTAAAATGGGGCAAGGATTCCAACTTTCAGCTTTTCCAAATAGCCTAATGCTGACATGTGATGGATCCGGCGCTCGGGTCCAGCCTGGGACACATTCCCTCTTCCCCTTCCCCGGTTCTGCCCCAGGGTTTGGGGGCATGATGCCCTTTGACACTTAAAGGTGAATTTGTTGGCTGGAGTTAAAAAACAGTTCAAAGCAAATAACCTCGGAAATGCAATAAAAGGCAAACAAACCATAAACATGAGTCGACCGGCTATCTCCATTACGTTATGAATCACCACATCTGGAGAAACCCACATCTGCACACACTTAGCAGGTCATTAGTAATGTCATATTCACACTGGAATCACTCAGAGTGAGCAGCATGCAAAGTGGCTTGAACGCAAAGGCATCTAGCTAACAGGGCTTCCGACGAAGGTCTTGAGCAAGCTGCTAGACTGGAGGCAGGGCCGTTTTAATTGTTACTTCTTGTCTGCTATGGCTTTTCTCTTTGGTATTTTGCTGCCCAACAAGCTGAATGCATGCTGAAATCGACAACAGTACATCTGTCTTCTTCAACCGAGCTCAGCATGTTAAGATAGAACGCTGAAGCGTGTGGTTATTAAAAGAGGGGTGGGCTCCCCAACTCCTTCACCTGGCTCGGCCACAAGCCGAGGATTGTGAGTTGTGTCCTTGGACTCAAATGGGTCTTTGGGATAGCGCGATCTAGCTGCAACCTTGACTGCCAAACATCAACGAGAAAAGAAAATGGAAATGAATCCTTTGCGAAATTTTTCATTAGGGAAGTTCCAAACAAGTTTTATCATCGAATAGAATTATAGCTTTACATGAAAAGGGGAGTTTCTTCCTCACAGCTCAACTGCGGTTTTCTTCTACCCTGATGGCTTCTTGAAATTCTTTTTGCTGTGTTTTTGTCATCAATGTCAGAAGGGATAGTATGTCAGAAAACAATCCTGTTTGTGCAATAATTTCCAAAAACCTACAGAGTACCCTTCTCCCTATGACATATATAGACCGAAAACTCAGTTTAGCAGCAAGACCAGACCCTTATACCCTGAAGTCTGCTAGAATGCATCCTACTGAATAATTATTATATTCCAAGTCATCA